TTGCTTCCATTTCACGCCTGTCTTCTGTGTGGTCGTGGTATTACACCGGGCGTGCCGGCCTATTCGTGCTAAGATGTTAAAGTGGGCACTATCACTTTCAACAATAGTAAGATTTTAACTGACTATAACAAGAATATTCTCATTTAGTAAAGATATGTTCTGTATTGTTTTTTTTTTTAAAAGTTAATTCTAACTAATACTTTTACCACTAAAAATATGACTGCTAATAGAGTTTTATAATAGAGCAACACATATGCGTCAGTAATGAGAAGGGGGGATGAGGGTAGGTCCATGACTTTTAGCACTAAACTAAGTCGACGCATAAATTTTAGGTTTACGCCTAAAAAGGTTATACTGTTTCTGGTGTCGAACTACAAAACTTTAATTTTGCCTTCTTTCCCGTTCTGTTATAAAACATAGATTCAAATTGTAGATGTATCTACAACCGATACTCACGCTTAAATACTGTTCTTTAAACATTTTGTTTTCGAAAGAAGTCTTTATAAGAGGGTGCGATGGACATTCGTGAACATTGCATTTCGCGGTTCACTTGCTCACAGAAACGCTAGCTTAGCTCTTCTCTTTGCGATAGGACTTATCGGTTATACGAGAAAATAAGTTTTTAGTTAAAACTTACTCTGAAATTTTGTTTATTTTATTTATAAGGTTAAAAAGAAACAAGCAACCACTGAAAGGCAAATTAGTGAAACGACCGCTGCCTAAATGCGACCTTTAATTGAAATATGTGAAGCAAACATCCACCTCCTCTTCTCATTCTTTCCTATAAGAAAAAGGTGAAAAAGGAACTAAAAAGTAGGCCTTTAGACGAAAAGCGGAATTGTTTCCACTTCACGCTTGTCTTCTGTGTGGTTGTGGTATTGCTTTAACCGAGCCGGCACATTCTTGCGAAGATTTTAAAGCGGGCTCCACCACTTCTTGTCTTACTTTTTAAAGTATTATGTATGTGAATTTTATAATTTAAAAATGTAAACGGAAGTTTAAAACCAATTAAGTATAAAAATTTAAGCAAATGATTAAAATTCTCAACTAACAATAAAAACATAACAATTACATTATTTCCAAAAGTTTCGCTTCCTGCGCCGCGAGCTGTTTGCGAATAATTAGCGAGCTTGTTTACTGTCCGAACTAACATGGAATTCATGCAACTACGACTACAACTATCAGGGAAACTTTTAATTGTACAATGCTTTAGTGGAAATCGAATGAATTGTAGATGAACTCTGACGTCATTAGTCGTCAGTTTAAAGTTGTTTACTGCTGGTCTTCATCGCCACAATATTATCTCAAAACCTGCATACAACTACGTCGACCAGTATCTGAGCACCATTCCAGATGCCTAAAACATCGTAATCCTCAGCGTTGAACTTTTACATTGAATAAATTATCAGTGATTCTTCAAAAGGAATTAAAGTATTTCCAAGATACTTCTTTATCGTACAATCTTTCGCTAGTGAACTTTAACAATAGGCAATGTTAAAGAAACTCATTACATTTGTTGGCGACTTGGAGATATCGGCGCGGCTTAACAAGCGCTCTCAACTTCCCTCGCCTTTCACGCAATCTGACGTGTTCACAACTTTTAAACCTGTCGTACATAGCAGCAAAAGAGATAGTAAAGCGATACGATGTTTGATACCTACATGGATTTGGTTTCAGGCGAATAGTTCCAGTACAGTATGCGCTATTGAAGCTAATATTGAGCGAAATTTGGGTTTCGTCCTCGTCTTCATTTTCTTGTCTCTGCGCCCTTTGGTCTTCTAGCACACTACATCAACAGTGAAAACATAATCAAAATGAACCCAATAACATAATCCTTGCGTGGATCAAACCGTGGAACTATTCAGTAGCTAAGCTCGTGCGTTACTTTTAATGTTGGCCAAAGTCTGCGTTCCGTTTTCGCTTCTTTTGTGTATGCAACAGTAATGCTTCGCCTCGCTTCCGAATCGCTTTCTGTGTGCTATAATCATTATCCAGCTGTAGACTACTCCGCTAGACTGTAAACTTGGACAAGTCGAGTTCATTACTTTATTGAATGACAAAATTTATTAGTTCTACTAAGAAGTATATTCTTTTCTTCTTGTCTTTAATATCTGTTATAGCGCATACATAAGTCCTTAATAATATAGTGATTTATTTATCAATTCTGTATTCTAAATGAGGATATCAACTATTTTATGTTTGCTTGTATCACCTTTTAATTACACTCTGTGCTGATGTTAATGCAACAGGTTTCCGACATCTAAACCGATCTATTATTCGTTATATCACTCTTAAGATCATTTCCCTGGTCTTATCACATTCTAGTGAGGTCAGGGCACAAGGTTTTACAAACCCTTGATATGCCAGTAAAAAGTATGGTTATTACTACTGGCTTTTAGCCTTTCGTCAACCTTATTCAGAACTTTAATATTTAAAATATGGCACTATACTTAGCAAAGTAATAATCAAGACATAATCCTAGATTACAGTGCTGAAAGAGGTATTACGTCCCAGTCTAGACGCAGGCTGGGTAAAACTTCACCGCATGCGACAGATTGCGACGAGACAAAGGACTCATTGTCGGCTAAGACGTGCTGATAACGAATGACATTCACAGCTCTATATTAATTTTCTTTTACGGTTTTTTTTCATAAGGCAAGAAAATTAAGAAAAAAGTATACGATCAGCCACCATAAATATCAACAATTTTGTCAGAAACACTTTTGGTTTAGGAAAAAACTTACAAGATTTATTGCTATTAAAATTCAACAGGCGCTTGTTAAAAATAAAATCATAGGTAATTTTGATTTAGTTGAGACAATTTAAAATTCGTTGTTTATAATACAACATCATCCTGATATATTTATAGACAGACAAACTAGCCTTTTTACAAAACAATTGAACCAATGAAAGCGAATCGTAAAAGATCCATCCATTTACCTGGTAGCATCATTAAGTTTGCTCACTGACGCTTCAAATCGAGAACATAAATACCACACTCGCGTCAAGAGTCACCATACATTGCTTTGTGTCAGATTTACTGCACATTATGACACTTTTATTGCATAATTCTTTCAAAAAAACTGTTGCAAGAACTCATGAGTTTAAAGTCTCGTACATTTAACGTTTTCTAATAATAAATTATACAAGTACTTAAAAATAAAATTATTGCCGCACTTAGAATCATTTAATTAATACTTAAACTGTACCTTAGTGGCCGTAACAGCGCGTGCTCACCTATGACAAAACTATCGCACAACTGTTTAGTTTCACTTTGATTCCTATGAGCTTATATAGAAGTGCGCACACTACTCGATTTATTAGTTGTCCAACAAAACAGTTGAATTGGCTGCGAAACAATCGACAATCTCAAGACTGTTGTGCGATAGTTTAGTCAACAGTGTGCGCTCACTCTGTCACTAGTGGGGCAGTTTACAGATCATGATTATTCTATTTACATAGTCTTCAAAAATTCCCAATTCATATAACAAGTAATTTTTCACATGTAGAGTTCCATCAAACACGTGAGTGGTGCTTGTGTATAATGACGTCATAGTCTACGTCATTACCTCCTATAATGCACTGCCACTTCGCCCCCTCACTAGTGTGAGCTAAAACTTTATGCATTTGAGTACATAAAATGTTCTATAGAAGTGATTAAGTTGCCACTTTTATTTTAGACATTTGAATCATACTAATGTTATAAATGCGAAAGTTTATATGGATGGATGTTTGTTAGAGTTAGTAGCCTAAACGGCTGAACGGATTTCAATGAATTTTGGCATAGATGTAGAGGATAGTCTGGAAGAACACATATGCTCCTCACTTTTGTCTTTTTAATTCCACGCGAACGGATTAGCTAAAAGCTAGTTTCTTGATAAAGAACACATTTATCGTAATCTCAAACATGCTTTAGGATATTCCGTACATTACTTAAAAAGTTTCTATTACATCTTATTATATCTTAAAACCTTAATAAAATTATTATAACCTAGGAATATTTATCAACACTTATGTTCATAACACCAGGAGTTCATAAACCGTCTTAAATTAGACAACAGTTCCGTGTTCAACCACAATATAGAGTACAGGCGCGCCTTTATCGCGGTCATCCTTGACCGTTAACTTCCCCAAGCTATTATCTCTTAACGAAATTACATTAATGCATCACATAAATCCTTGCACCCGTATAAGGCCGTTGAACTTCGCGTGTTCGTAACTGCAATAAACTTTGTAGCCCCCTTGTTTATTTCTGCACCCCTGGTAGATTAGCACTTTCCTATATTGAAAATGTACGGAATACATTTTTTACAAGAACTTATTTGGGTGGGGTTTTAATATTGAATAGGAATCTATCCTTATGAAACACGCTGTTTATGAACGATTACTGAGCCTAAGTGTAGATTTAAGCAACATAAGTATCGATCTTATTTAAACTCAAAGTAATATAAATGCGATGTTTAGATTAAATGGATGGATGGATGTTTTTTGTTATTTCCAGAAAGACTAAACAGATCTAGCTGAAAAGTATAGATAAAAATAATTACATAGCCTGGAAAAACGCACAGGCTTGTTTGTAGCCTTTGAGTTTGTAGCCTAAACGGTTGAATGGATTTCGATAAAATTTGGTATAGATGTAGAGGATAGTGTGGAAATACACATAGGCTACTCACTTTTGTATTTTTTAATTCCACGCGGACGAAGTCGCAGGCGATAGTTAGTGTAAATATAGAACGGTCTTCCTTATTTTTGAGTAAATAACATTGTCCAATTAGATGGTATGAAATAAATGGACTGCTATATATATGCAAAAATCAATACTCAGGCTCCTTAGTAACCGGTATCTACGTAAAAATTTAGTCGATATTTACAAAGCCGTGTCAACAACGGATACGAACACGTTCGTTATATTTTTCTTTATGAAACACAGCAGGGGGTACATGTGAACGTTGGTTTTTTTATTTTGTTTTTAATTTTTTCCAGTAAAAGGAATCAATCATGGTCGGTCTTCCACACAAAGTCAAACAGTGCCCCGTTTATTTTGGCCATCCATTTCAATTTTGGAATGTAAGTTTCGTAATGTTATTTGCACATTGACCGCTGTTTGTTCAAAAGTGGCCAGTGTTTGTGAATTTTATTTCAGTTCAAACGTGCGGTTTGTGTTATACTAATTAATTGGTATAGCTGTGCATTTACAATGTCGAAATATTATCATCCCACTCATTATTTTTTAGAGAAACAGAGATAGCAATATTTATACTAATGTTATAAAGTTTTGATTGTTTATATTGATACCGACATTATTAAACTGATTTAAAAAAAAATTAACATCAAAGGGAAGGGTATAGATATTAGAGCTGAATATGGGGCGGATCGGTAGTGTTTTGTTTTAAAACAAGGTTTTGTGCAGTGTAAAGTAACGGTAAAATAAACTCTAGGTTCGACAGCATTGCGATATGGCCTCTTCTATAAATGTTGAAGATATGAAGAAGCTATCAGATATAGTAGACTACGATACTGTACATCTACAAAAGTAAGTAGATCTTTCTATTATAGCATAATCATACTAAGATTAATACAAGCTTTTAGTCAAATATACAGTCAAGGATGTTTATTTCCTACCCATTTTGGTGATACGTCACGCACAATGCAAAAAGATCGTAAACTTGCTGCAACAACATACGTGCTAAATTTTAGCTATATTAGTTTGATCTAAGTTATTAGATTCTCAGTGGGAACCAAATTTAATTCTTTTACTGTACCAAATCACTGGATTCCCTTAATTTCTCTTACATTATAGAGCTATAATAAATCGTGTCGATGAGAGAGTAAGAGAGATGTTGACAAAAGAAGAAAGGGAATTATGACAGAGACGAGAAAAACTCAAACTTCTTTTACAAGGAGAAGAACAAAGTCTGTTACAAGAACTATTAACGAAGCAATCTATGAAAGATTGTGATTATTGCAAAGAAAGAGAGAGCAAGTTAAAAGAATACGAAGAAGAAATAGAAAAGGAGAAGATTATAGCATGCAAAAGGGCGTTAGAAAGAGAAAAAATGTGAGTATTCTTCAATCTTTTCTTTCCACATCTGATAATTTGGATGACAGTCCACTGTACTTCATCAACATCTGCTAGTTACGAAATCCTAGCACATTTGTGTTACAACTAACTTTTGCCCGCGATTTCGTAAGCGCGGGACTGTCAAAAGAACTTGGTAAATAGCCTATGTGTTCTTCCAGACAATATTCAACATCTGTGACATTCATTAAATTCCCTTGAGTCGTGTTGGATATACCTAGTAACAAACATTCATTAAATTAATGTTTTACCACCCTTTTCTTATAAGGAGAGGATGGGAACGGGAAGTGGATTTGACGGTAGAGGAGATGCATAGGAAGGGGAAATATTCTCTTTATGTGCATCTCCTCCTCTATCGGATAAGGGTAGGCAACGCATCTGCAATTGCGGATGTCTATGGGCAGCGGTCGCTTCGTCATTTTGGCGGATTCAGGTGGCCGCTTACTCGTTTGCCACCTTATGTTATAAAAAAAAATTCGCTTTAGAATAATAAACGAATAGAAAGTTAGATATTTTTTAAACAATAGGTAGAGAAGGAAGCATAAATAATGTATCCATTAAATCAATTAAAAATAAATAAAAATGCCTAATTTTAATTACAGTGCAAATGGCATGCAGTGCACAAGAAAAGACAACATACAGCTACAAGCAATGCAAAAGTTGCAAATGGAAGAGAAGGAATATATACAAAAAGTAGAAGAAAAACTGGAAAGCACTTGGCATCAAGTTCTAATCAACGACGTACGATCAAAGGTATCTTAATACATAACCAAGTTAATTTACCAATTCAAAACAAATGGCGACTGTTCTTTGTGTGCTTGTCATTTGATAGACGTCTTTTCTCAAAGCCAAAAGTATTTGCATGTACTGAACTTTACACCGCAGTTAATCATGCGACATCTATGTTTAGTGGAAAAAGTAGTTTTTCTCCCCATAAAAGAAGCATTTATATTTAAATTAAAATATTCTTTTCTTGCCAAGAATCTTTATTCTTCATCGCTTTCTGTAAACCTCTTCCGAATAGTTCAATCAAATGTTTCAGTAATATCTCCTCTTAACCTCAAAAAAGACTAAATAATCCCAATACCCTGTCCTTTTACCAGAACGAAAATATACTTTTTAATTGTTTTTAGGAAGAGAAAGAAAGAAAAGAAGAAATGAGATTAAAAAAAGAAATGCGTGAACGCAGACGAGCATACGACGAGCAGATATCTAGTGCGAATAGAGAGCGACGGGAAACATTGCAGAAAGAAAGAGAACAAGAAAACAGAAGATTAGATAAGTTAAAGCAGAAAATGGAAGAGGATTACTACAATGGTATAGAATACAATGTACATAGAAAAATTACACACCGAAATACCTTAACAAAAATTTATTAATCATCCCTTCAAAGATAATACAAAGATATTTTGAACCTCTAAATTTTATTTTAATACTTACATAGCTCGATTGTACTAAATACAACAGGGCATGAAAAACAAAAATTAAAAACTAACATTTACAAATATGAACGACCTAGTTTTGATTTATGCGTGATTAATTGCAAACATATTCTAAATTGAAAGTCGCCCTATTTAAAACTAGAATTTGTCTCAATTGTATATTTTTAATTGCAGCGATAAAACAAAAGAAAGAACAGCAAATGACAAACAGATTGAATTTTATAAATGGACACGAGTTAAAAGTGTTACGATTAAAAAATCAGAAAAACAACGAGAGAGTGATTGACCTAAATAATATAAGAATAGCAGAAGAAGAGTTAAGAAAAGAAAAGGAAAACAAAATTAAACAGATAGTATGTTTATATCAAATTAAAAACATTAACTTTTACTTCTCTCATCTACCAAAACGACTAAAGTTATGCCCGGTTAACATAGTTCCAGTCAAACACTGGCTTCGATCGCTGGACTGGAATCATGTAAACCGTGCATTTTGCAGAAATACATACATTTCTACTTCATAAGTAATTCTTTCTAAGATTTATTTCCTTGGTAAAATATCGCTTAATTTGACAAGATTGACCCTTTCACATATACATTTTATATAGTAACGATTAAAATATTATACATTTTTAATAAGATTATTTGGTAAATAAAACAACAGTTGTAATTGTTCACATTTCAGAGAAATTTGCAACAACAAAGTTCAATTTTCGTCGATTATTATAATCGAGAAAGAAACATGGCGTCTGAATTAGAACAACAAGCGGATAAAATTATAAACGACATAAAAACAATCGAGGACAAAAGATATGAAGATCGGAAGCAGCAGGAAGACGAAAGAAAAAAACATAAGAAAGAAGTGAGTAAAATATATGAAACGTAGTTGCAGGCACATAATGAATTTAATCTGACCCAAAGCACCAATTAAAAAAAATACGTTCATGCATTTAAGACAATCAAGTTATCATAATTTAGATGCATTATATTGTCTCTAAGGAAGGTTTAGCAATAATTTAACATCTGTACATATCTAGATTTTATAACGACACAAAATCTCTTATGAATGTTACGTAGAAGTAAAAGGCTACGGTTTTAAAAAAGATCCTAATACATACGTAAATATGAAAAAAAACCATCGTGTTATTGAGATGCTATGTGGTATTAAATTTGCTCATAAAGTTTGCAAATTTAGCTCGTTGTTTCGCGCTGCGTCGCGTTAACTAGAAAATTTATACCTCTTATATTTTGCATAACATCAGCACACTCATTATAAGAGGGCGTGAGTACGACACGGCGCGGGGAAATTTGCATGTGGCTTTTTAAATCTAAATCTCATTAAAATACGCTAATATTACACTTGGGCATTATTACTAATTCCGGAATATGAATTAAAATTAACTACATCAAACCAATTCAAAACCCACAGCTGTTGTCAATCTATGACAGAAATTAATTCGTATTTATTTCGATTTCAATATTGTAGGTTAGAACCGTAGTCCTGAGAAACTCCCGTCTCATTTTTCCTGACATTACAATTCCCCTAATCCCTAAGACTAGTACAAAAAATACTGTCATCACTGCTGTTTACCATAAGAGTAAGAGAGATGGCAATATAATTTCGGACAGGTTTTATAAATCTTTTCCTAAATTTCCAGATAGCTCTTCAGGAATACAGGTTACATTTGGAAAACGTAAATAAACAAAATATCGAAGCGAAACTGCAAAGGTCACAACAAATGCAGAATGTTAAGAGAACAGCGTATTCCGAATTAGAGAAGCAATTAAACAGCGCTAACGAAGAGTTAAAAAAGCAATTAGAATATAGACATGGCCTGACAGAACAAATAAGACACAATCATATTGTTATGGTAAGTCTAATCAAAAAGTAACATAATACATATTTGCATGTCGTGGAATTCGTGTAAAACCTTAATACGCGGTTCACAACTGGCCAGTACAGTTGTTCAGTAGCGCGCAATAACAGAACTGGTATTGTGTGAACACTAACTGACAACATTGAGTCCAACAAATCTATGCCTGGCTAGCGCAACTATACAACTGTGCTGGCTAAGCATGAACCAGGTTCGTAAACTTTTCGAGGGTACCGCCTTTCGGCAGCAGACGCAGGCCGGGGTCGCGGGCGTAAGCGTAAGCGTGCCCGTAACCCCGGCTTTAGGCGTTGGAGGAACCGATGGGTTTAGTGGGTATGTCCCCCATTATGGGGGAGAGTCCCACATAACTACCGCGTCCCCCTGGGCGCGGAGTATGCGTAAGATGCATTCCCTTTGGGTAACAAAAAAAGGGGTTTGTAAACCTTTGTATCAACTCTTACCTTATTACTTGGGTACTGGAAACTTTAAAGAAGCTTGAAGTATTTCGTCCAATCTTCATACATCATATAAAAATAATACTTATACCACATTTCAATGTCCTTTTCGTATTTCAGGAAACTGAAATAAAAAATATCGAAGATAAACAACATCCATTTACAAAGAAACCCATTACGTTCAGAGACGCTATGAAGGACAGAGTAAATGTTTCGAAGATAGACAGGTAACAAATATGAAATGTACATTTAAGATTACAGAGTTCTATCACTAACATAAAAATAATATTAACTCAATATCTAATACAGTCTTGTAACTCAAATCAACAATATAATAGATTTTTAAATATACTTACATAATATTTTCATTGCTTTTTTTATTACAGCACTAATCCAGTTCATCCATTTAGGAAAGTTATACAAAAGCATCATAAATACAGCCAGCCACTGCCACAAATAAGCTAAAAGTTAATTAATTATATGTTAATTTATTAAATGTAACAAATGAAACCGAATTCCTATAATAAATTCACCTTAAAACTTATGCACTAAATCACTACAGCCTTGTTACCTTATAAGTACTTATTGTATATTTTTTTTAAAACTAAAATTGACGGTATATATGTACCGTTGTTTTACAGACTTAAAAAACATACAGACGAATTGACTACCTCCTTTTTGGGAAGTCGATAAAAAGAAGTAATAATTCCTATTTGATAAGTTAAACAAATTTTGTAAATCGTACTGTTTATATTAATCTAATTTACAACAGTAAACTTCAAGTCTAAATTAGTTTATTTTTTTTAATTATCGCGTAATAGGCGAGAATGTAAGACTTATAACGAAAACTTTTGGTTTTGTTTGCAAAAAAAAACATAAATATATGTATCGCAAAAATAACAGTTTATCAGTGAAACGGAGTAAGCGCCATCGACAGTTATTTTATTAAAGACGAATAACGTTCATATTAGTACCTTTTTATTCGCGTTTCTAAGATGATCTTCCTAAAAATCAAAAATTGTTAAATTTTGCCCTCAATGATCTAAGAAATCTTAAAACTAAAGGAAAAACAAAAATTATCTTATTTTCCTCCCTGTTGATTAAAAATGTTGTTTCTTGTCTTATAAAAGATGGCGCTTGCATCTGTAAAAATTAACGTTTTTTAGCAGAGTTATAGTTTTTTAGTTAACCGTTTTTTTAACTTAAAACAATAACTAAAAAGCGCAATGGCTGCTGAAGTTGGTTGACGGAAAAAATCATTGATAAATTAATAAAATTAAAGTGGTTTTCGCTTGCTAAATGGATTTTGGTGATGATATTTATAGAAGTCAGTTTGATAAAGTAAATCGACTCGTATTATGGAGGCCAAAAAGAAATACTCTTGGGATTTTTTAGACAATTGTTCCTACAGAGCGTTGCAACAAATTGCTAAATCTTTATGTTTGCCTTGCAATTTTAAAGTAAGTAGATTTTCATATTTACGTATTTTAAATATTATTTAAGACTCAAATGGTATTGTGTTTTTAATGTAAGTAAACATTAACGTAAAATTATCAACTTTTGAAATTAGTACCTAAAAGAAAAACAAATGACAATCTCCACCAAACAAGTGGAATGTTTCAAAAATATTGATTTACTTTACAATAATACATTTGTCAAACATATTATATCTACAATTCTTTCACTTTGGCTCGTTTACTGGATTTATTGCGTCATTTCATCATCCACGATTCAGTAGAATCTAATTTAAGTTAACTAGATAATTGTCTGTTTTCTATGATCGTTTTTCTTTTTTTCCTTGTTGTAAGAAGTCATTATTTAAAAAAATGTTGTCACTTTCAATTAGCAAAGGCACAAAAATAGGATATTTGCTTATGTTTATTTATAAGAAGTCATTTGTATTATGTAGTTAAATGTTTTGTAATGAATAAATAGACTAATTAAATTAAATAGTTTAAAATTACTAGTAAGTTTACTAAAACATGCTTATAATATTTCAGAAAATATATTTAAAAGAACTTATACTTGCCAAAAATGTAAAAACAGAGAAGGAATTAAATGAAAGAATTAATTTTATTAAATTGGAACGCAAAAATCTTTCTGCCAGAAAAAAATTATCCAGAAGGAAGACATCTTTAGAAAAATCAAATTTAAGGGTAAATTTAAACATTACTTTGGTAATTTTTTAATTATCTATACCTACATTATGGTAACACTATATGGGCCTTAGCACTATAATATTGTTTGTAGTCTTAAAAACCCTTATTCAACATTCTTATTATAAAAAAATTATAACATTAATTTTACACAAAGAATAATCATATTTGACCACATAATAATTCCTCACATTTCCAAAAAGTAAAACTACTTGCTATCAAGATATTTTAGTATAACTTTGGAGTTTTTATGCTAAATATAATAAAACACCAATTTCTACAATAATGTCACCCTTAATTACCACATAAGTACTTCTTTCCCTTCCTGTAACTGTATCCATTGCTACCAATACTTTTTAGTACCCTTTTACCTACAAACCTAAAAACAGTTTAGTATTAAAAATTTTCCTATTTGTTTATGCAAAATTGTACTAAATCTATTTCAGGATAAAGAAAAATCCAAAAATCAGGAAAACTTAATACTCTCCCCACCCATAAGTTTAACACCCAAACGCACTCACATACCAAGACGATCAAGTCCTCGTTTTAAGGATTTATTCATCAGATACAGACCGAAAACACTTATCGGTAGAAACACAACACCTAAAACATATTCTTCTCCAAGAGATAAGAACAGAATATTGAAGGTAAAGCATGAAATTGATGAAAGAAGAATTAAAAATAAACAAAATGATTTAATATTTAAAGATGAAGTATTCAATGATGTTAATGATGTGTTTAATCAGAGTTTAAATAATGATGTGACTCCTATTGCTTTACAAGATGAACTTTATCCTGTAGAAGATTTAGTAAATATTTGCGAAGTGGTAAGTAGATTCAATACTAATGGCCTGTCCCACCACTGGCTGATAGAGGCTCAGATAGCTTAAAATGATAACACTGTCAGATAAGGTAACAAAATCCGATATTTCCCTCACATATTTTATCTTGGATTGTTATCAGACAATTTACAATTTGGTGGGACAGGCCCTAAATGTGTCAGAGTTTTCAGTTTTTTTTAGTATTTTGGTTACCATTTTTGAATTCAATTAGAATTTAATCTAAGGAGTGTTAAATTATTTTGATTAGACTTTCTTTAATATAAAATGTTCACCTCATTAACTGAATATGAGAATTATTTGTAGAATTTTTTTACAAATACTTATTATGTCATTTAGTGTTATAAGGGGTTGCCAATTTACTTTTTTTTTGTGAGGTTTATATAATCTCTTTCATTACAATTGGTCAAAGTCAATAAAGCAGCAGAAAACCTATTCTCTTTTTTCATTATTCAATATTTTTATAGCTACCTCCAATAAAATCTAGAATAATGAACGTAATCTATCCTTCGACCAGTCAAGGCTCATATTTTGAGGAGCATATAAAAAATGTATCGGAAATCCGTGAACTTGTATCAAACAGTCAGACTAAGGAGGAATTTCCTATATTAGAGGATAATTCAATAATAATTGAAAACACAGGATTCATGGATAGGATAAATAGTTTTATAAACCGATTATCATTGACACCAGAAAGTGATATAAAAATTGATACTAATGGTGGTAATAAAATTAAGACTGATTTACCGAAATTTGCTGACGCTTTTGGTAATATTTGCAATATACCCTGGACAGCTCAGATGCAAGATAATGAAAGTAAGTGTAACCAATTTATTCCTTTCCCTTCGTAATAGATACTCTATTCTCTTATTATTTCTTACTAGTTTTTACCCGCTAGACTCTGTAGAAATAATAAAAAAAGTAATTAGTCTATGTGTTCCTAAAGACTATGTCTACATCTATGACAAATTACATCAAAATCTAGTCAGCAGTTTAAGCTACAAATTAACAAACATCCATCAATCCATGTAAAAGCATTGAATTCAAAATTTAAAATAAAAAATATTGTCTATGTAACTCACTGATAACATAGATTTTTAGTTGTGGAAGCATTCTTGAAATCTGCCCAGTAGTTTTTCACCTATTTGAATACAAACAAAAATGTAAAATTACAAATCTTTCCTCTTTATAATACTTATTAGAAGTCAGAAATAATCCTAGGTTCTCACTGTTAATTCGTTCCTATGAAAACAGTCAAATCCCATTCTCTCAAAATACTGAGGTTTCAATATGTTTTTAGATTAATGTGATAGTAGAAATCCACAATAATTTATATTACTTCACTATTTCTATTTTTAAGCTTTATTTTTTGAATTACCAAGAGTTTTACATAAGGAATCATTACTATTATCGCTTTTATTTTTACTATTATTAATTAATTTTTCAGGTAAGCAACAGAACATAATAAACACTCAAGAATCCAATTTGAATTTTCCGGATGAATTCGGGTTTCAGAACATCTACAAAACTGAAGGTATGAAATTTATATTTTATTAAAAATAATTTATCATAACTATTTTTCCATGTAATATTTGTGTTCTTTATTTTCATATAATTTCATTAAAGCAATAATTACCACTATAAAAATATTAGAAACCAGTAACAGAGTACCATATATTTAGTAAAATGAAGTATTCTATTATTGAAAACTATATGTTTAGTGGAATACAGTATTCTACTACTTAATAGAATATAAGAGTATATGTTTAGTACTAATAATACATTTACAAAACTACTATTTAATAGTATACAGATATTTACATATCATTGATATTTCTAGTAGAAATGAAACTGATTTTCTAAAGAGGAAATGTTTGTACTTCAGCTAGTTTCAATGCGTTATGAAAGAGGATTAATACAATACTTAGGGCCTGTCCCACCAAATTGTAAATAATCTGATAACAATGTGTCAAATATGTGATGGAAATATCGGATTTTTTCCCTTATCTAACAGTGACGTTATTTTCAAGCTATCTGAGCATCTATCAGCCAGTGGTGGGACAGGCCCTAAAATCTAAAGGCGGTTATCCGAACATTATCTGTTGCTCTTCAAAAGTGGCAGGCGCTTATGATGTTATTAGTATTGCTATTACATAAAAAAGGCGTTTCAACGCAAATAGTATTCTATTTTAATTGTTAAAATTAGTTTACATATTCATGTTTTCAGAGAATAATCATGCTATGGATCTTTTGGAATCATATCTGGACTCTCCGGAAGAAGTAGGTGCTTCTCTCAATATTTCTGAATTGGTTGATCAAGTGCTTGGACAAATCGATCGAAATACTGTGGGTATACTCACCACATGCTCAAGGAAAAGGAAAGGGAAAGGGATTTTTAATTTAAACCCTATTTCCACTAAATTACTCAACAACTTTTCTTACTAGTGGGCTTTTTCTCTCCCGTGGCGATGTATTTGGAAATGTTTTAGGGACATAGTAAATAATTGCGATCAGTCGCATTAGTGGAAATAAGGTATAAATAAAATTGCGTCTAAATGTTTACTGGTGAGAGGTAATTTAAATATTTCTGTAATATTTATTAACTGAGGAGGAGGTTTCAAGGGATTAAGGTAACATAAAAATTAATGCGATATATAAAAAGTGTTTGGTTACTTGGTAGAATTTTAATAGTAAGTTTTGGCGGCGACTTCCGCCGGAAATTGAAAAAAAAACTAAGTAAATGGTGTCTGTCCTTCAAATGCTCTACATCTGCGACTTTAATCAAAATCTGTTAAGTTGTTTTGGAGATATGTGGTAAACATCCATCCATCCAAACTAGCATTTATTACAAAAACTATTTATTTTATTTATCAATAAAAAGGTAATGAAAATGCAAAAGTTGGGATGAATGAACACATATACTACTTACTTAGTTTTTTTTATTCCGCGCGGATGAATTCGCGGGCTAAAACTAGTATTAGTAGTACAGTACGATGTGATTGTTTTAATTTATGTGGTTGTATTGTATGTTATTTAATTGCATGAGATAATGATTGTTTTGCTTATATTCTATTAATGCTTGCGTTACTTGCTTGGTAGCTATTTTTTAACTATCTTGTTAAAAACTTATTAATTTTGAGTATATTGTATGTTTTTATTTAAATAGGATATGCACAATGTGTTGGAGGATTTTACTACAGTGCAATGTGTCATATGTTCTCGGACTGGGCCAATCAATTTACTGGAGGAACACATTAAAGAGGTAAATAATTGTAGGAATTTAGTAAAAAAAACTAATAAAAAAGCTATTTTCCAATTTAACTATAGGTTATTTTACATAATGGTAACATCTGTGTAATAATAATATTAACATCTTTCTTGTCCCTCTCCTTTTATACCTAATGGATGGTGAAGGGAGAGTGGATTTGACGAAGGAGACGCAATGAGTCTCCTCCATTGATTAGGATTATTCCCAACCGTCACCCCGCTCTGTTCCCATGAGGGAACAGATGAGAATGAAAAGTTTCATCTGTCCCACCCTAAGCAACTTGGGGACGGACTTATTTATTTCATAACGATTCAATCTGTCACCTTATTGGTGATAGTAGGACGGATGAAACTTTTTATTCTCACGTGGGGACATAGCGGGTTGACGGTTGGTAATAATCCATTGTATAAGGGTTGGCAACGCATCGTTCGCCTCGCTTTCTCGGCGCAGATGGTCGCTTAGTCATTTGTCATCTTATAATAAAAACAGATTACAGTTTCATATATGAGGGTGATTTCCAGAAGCATAGTAGTATGATGCACATAGAGCGTGCGGGGGGCTGGGCCGTGCGCTTCAGTCTCGGCGAGCTGGCGTGTCGCCAGACGTGGCGTAGTGCTCCGCTGCAGCGCGACCAGTCCGCACAGACCGCACAGACTGCACAGTCCGCACAGTCCGCACATACCACACAATCCGCACAGACCGCTCCGCCGCTTTACCTCCTCAGTGCGTGCTACAGGGACCCCGACTGCTGCATGGCTACACTCTCCGTGAGTCATACTATACTTT